AGGGTCCTTTCCATTACGTAAGATGTTGAAAATAGTAGGACACCTCCTAAAAGTGAGATGTAGCTGATGTTTGCTGGCAACCTTAGCCTATATAGATTTTAAGTACGGATTGTATGCGATGGCAATTTATTCTATGTCCTCCGGATGGCCGTCCTCAAATTGTTCTGATTCCCGTGCATTTTCTGAGCATTAAGGTCGAAAGCTCGGGCATCAACACTTCAGTATATCATAAACCGGATCCACATCATTGTGCATTCCTGCTGGATCCTGTGATCTGAGCACATATAAGACTGCAGCTTTTAGAGCATTAATCAGAAGAGCCTTTATGCATTTGTCTAACATTCAGGTTTGGGATACTGAACTGGCGTACATACTCTGCTTAGCTGCCCAACATGGGTATCACAAGCATATACATAAGCTAATACAACATCAACAATGTATATATTCAGAAAACGCATGGGAATCAGAACAATTTGAGGACAGCCATTCGGAGGACATAGAACAAATTGCCATCACATACAATCCGTACTTAAAATCTATATACGCTAAGGTTGCCAGCAAACATCAGCTACATCTCACTTTTAGGAGGTGTCCTAGTATTTTCAACATCTTATGTAATGGAAAGGACCCTCCTAACCCCACCAGATGCCCTGGAATCTATAGTACAGTAGAGCGTTGTTTATTCGAAAGTCAATTATCCGAAAGCATTCCAGTCTGCAAATTTAAATTTTCACTAGTGCTGTGGCACTGCAATCTTTGGCTATATCTTGGGCTACTCCAATATTTTTTTTGTTGGTGTGTGTGTTTTAGCTTGCAGCCCTGGCACTTTTGTGTGGTGTTTTTCTGAGGATTGTGTGTCATGCTGAATCAAACGTTTTTGATACTAGATCAACTTCTAAAGTATATATTTTTTTTGTTTTTATATTTTTCAATATATTTATTTTGTTTGTACAAAATAAAAAAATAATTTTTAGCGATACAATAGTCACGATTATTATTTTAAAAAGTTTACACTAGGCTTAACATTGACGAAAATTCAACGCGAAGCGACACGCAACGGAGAAAAATTTTAACGTGGGATAGGTTAATATATTTTTTCGTACATAATCGGTTATCTGAAAAATAAGTTATCCGAACAACCCCAATTCATTCAGATAAACAACGCTCTACTGTATCCCTTTGAAGGAGAACAGGTGCGATAGGAACCTAATATATATAGGCTCCACTAAACAATCTTTGGGCATCAAAATACAAGAGCATCTAGCTGATATTCGGCACGGAAGAACTTCCACGACCCTCGCTACGTATGTAACCGATCCTGATATAGTAGCAAACTTCTCCCAGGCCAATCTGCTCCATGATTTGCCTCCCATTGAACACCTCAAATGGTTAGAGGCTATGCACATATTTAAATCCTCCACCACCAACACGCGCATAAATTTTAAAGAGGAGATGCTGTTGTCGTTGGCCTGGCAAGAGTTAATTCACAACATGCTCTAATTCACTCGGCATACATGAACGGGCTAACTGGTTGCACATGCGTGACTTGATTTGTATAAATCCATTCAAACTTACGATTCAAACTCAAACTTTAAACAACATTCACCCGAATAGATTTTTAACGGATATCAAACATCTATCTAGAAACTGTTTGGAACCTGAAGCAGAGCCCAGATGGGGTTCGAAAATGTTTGTTTAGCAATCTTTTTACGTGATCACACCGGAAATGATTCTGGTATGTAATTTTTTAGTAAATCCAGTGTGATGATAGTGAGTTATGTTTAAAAAAAATTACTTTGATGACAGTTAAAACTTATAAATTAATTTAGTTAAAAANACTTCTCCCAGGCCAATCTCCTCCATGATTCGCCTCCCATTGAACACCTCAAATGGTTAGACGCTATGCACATATTTAAATCCTCCACCACCAACACACACATAAATTTTAAAGAGGAGATGCTGTTTTCATTGGCCTGGCAAGAGTTAATTCACAACACGCTCTAATTTACCCGGCATACATGAACGGGCGAACTGGTTGCGCATGTGCGACTTGATTTGTATAAATCCATTCAAACTTACGATTCAAACTCAAACTTTAAACAACATTCACTTGAATGGATTTTTAACAAATATCAAACATCTATCTAGAAACTGTTTGGAACCTGAAGCAGAGCCCAGATGGGGTTTGAAAACATTTGTTTAGCGATTTTTTTACGTGATCACACCGTAAATGGTTCTGGTATGTAATTTTTTAGTAAATCCAGTGTGATGAGTAGTGAATTATGTTTAAAAAAAAATTACTTTGATGACAGTTAAAACTTATAAATTATTTTAGTTAAAAGCTATAAATCCAGTGATAAAACATTTTAAAAATTATGTTTTGTTTAAATGTTTCAATAATCACAATGAAACTGATTTAGAAAAGAAACTTGCAAATAATAAATTATTTACTGTCATAATTACAGAAATCTTCTAGAACAATTTGATATATTTGAATTTATCTGAGTATTGAAAAAGTCTGAAAATTTAAAATAAAGTAATTTTTAAATGTTTTAGATTGTGTATTTATGTATCAAATTAGTTTATTTTAAAGAAATAAGAAAGATATCAACTAAATCTAAAACAGTCTAGATTTGATACTTAATTGAATATTAAAGTGATTATTATGTATTATGCATTGTATTTTTATATTTTACAACAAAGCTTCAATTTTTATTTTTTTATATTTCAAAGAGGAAATAACAAAATTGTATCAACCAAGTACATGAAATGTACTGTACTATGATGCTATGATGTGTAAGTCATAAAGAGACATTTCATCTATATTTCAAATAAATGAAGTAGTAAATTTTTTTCATGTGAATTAATAAATAAAAGTTTAGTTATTATTTTGTACAGGTGAACCTGCTATACATATATTAAGATATATTAAGATATCAGCTATTTTAATGAATAATGATATATTTCATTAAAAGATAATGATGAATTTATAAAAAAAAAAAAGCTTTTTCATTTAGTGAACTTCATGTACTCCAATACACAAATTCTTTGCTATCCATTGAATTTGCTTACAAACCAGTTTAGATACTTTTTTCATTGTGTTGCATATATGCCACAATTAACACTGATAATTTTTGGACAATTATTTATGATAAGCTGAATATAATTCTATTAAAAACTGCAAATAAACAGGTACAATTTTCTAATTTACACTTTTCATATCATTTAAAATATGATAGAAATTATTACTAACTCTACTGAATATCTTATAAAAACATTCTTCTTTGTTACTGCAGATTAATTTACATAAATGTAATTAAAAATAATATACATATACAGGAAAACCTCTTTAATTAAGCCAACCACCTCAAAAACATAGGAAAATTGGTCATTTTAAGGTGTTTTCTTGTTAAAGGTAGTGGTAAATATAAAATGGATACAAAGTACTTTATACAGTACTAGGTCTAATAGTAATGCATAGTACTACATAGTATATATAGTATTCTAGTGTAACACTACACAGACTAGTGTTTAGGCAATAGAGCAAAACTATTTTAAAATGCCATGCATTGATTAACAACTATATTGGAAGGAAATTTATTTATTATATATAAATTATATGTAATTCTGTGTACTATATATAAAAATGTAATGCTTGCAGTGTTAAATGTTTGATTTAAAAGTAATTTGAATGGATAATTGTTTCTCTGTTTTAACTTTTTTGACAAAATGGTTCCTTCAATAATTCTTACCTATTTAGACAAATAGATCCCTCTTTCAGGTTAAACAAATTCAAAAATTGTCCAAATTCCTCTCAAATTATCTGTCATCAATTACCATTTTATCTGTTCCTATTAATGGAAAGATTAAATTCATTGGCTTTCTTATATTATGTAGTCTGATAAGAATAATGCATAAGCTAACTTGTCAAAGATATTAACAGAAAATTATGTATATTCTCCATAATAAGACTGAAAAAAAGAAAATAGACATTGAAGATGGAAAAGAAAAGATTAAGAAGAATTTTTACACTTAATATAACAGTACAACTTGTCTAACATTGCACACTACATATTCATGGTTTCTATTTTATCATCCCATGCAGGATTATGAGTCTAGGTGGTCTTTGATTGAGTAAAGGAGTGGCTGGCTTAAGCAGGATTAAAAATTCTGTTCTAAGAAAATTTAGTCATATAAAAGGTGATTGACTTAAACAGGTGGTCATCTAGAGAGATTTTACTATATTACATATTATGTTATATTTGATAATGCAAGTTATTTATGTGCAAAATCAAACTTTCACAAAGTTTCATTTTAAATATAAAACAAAAAATTTTTGCTAGATGGCTGAATGGCCACGACAGTAAAGCCAGACTTGGTGGAAGATCCAGGTTGGTAACATCAGGTATTTTTTGTTGACAATCTGTCTAGGATATCTCAGACTTTATTTTTCATCTCATCCCACTTGCCCATATTATGGACCTCGCTGAAGCTATGCTGGATAGAGAAAAAGATTCTTTAGTGCCACAGGGCCATAAAGAATCTTTTGTATAAAGTGTTAAGAATATTATGTTTTGATTCGTTTTTATTGTTAATTCATATTTGTTTCAAATATTTGTTGTAATATGAATATTTTTGTATGCAAATAATCAAAACACCCTTGAATTGAAAGTGCAACATTCAGCTCTGAAGATGAAATTAATTTTAAATTCTTTCAGTACAGGAACTTTTACATATTAATATCATGATTCACATATCAGTGTTTCTAAACATTTTTTCTATTAATTTTTATAAGAATAAATAAAGCAAATTTGTTTGCATATGATAAATAAAATACTTTTCAAATTAAATAATTTTTTATTATGAAACAACTATTTATTTTTTTAATTTTTTAAAATTAAAACTACTTGATTATAAAATTGTTATAAATTTATATAAATATTCATTTTATAATTTTTATTTGTGTAATTGCTATCAATGAAATCTTGGGCCAAACCTAGAAGAAGTGCAAGAAAGTGCATTACAAGCTGGAATTTTAGATGTGCTATTGAATTACTTGGATAGATTTCATCAAGATGAAGATGTTGCTACACATTGCTTGCTTGTTTTGAATTGTCTTGCAGACTGTGGTATGTATGTTCTTTAATTAAATTTGATGTTTAATTTGTTATAATCTTTGAATTGATCATTGATGTTTCTGAAACTAGTTCATTGTCCAATGAATTATGGCCTTCACAGAAAATTCCGTTTTAACATATGTAATAAATATGATTGTCCACAAATCATATTTACATACATTTACACAATATATACAAAATTTACAATTGAGGAGTATTAGTTTAGACTCAGACAGGATGGTTCCTTCTCAAGGGAGCTAGGAAAGAGAAAGAAATCTCAGATCAAATTGGATTAGTTGCAGAGCAATAACTTTCAGAGGGCATATTCTTTTTTAATTACTAGAACAAATCAGGAATATCTGTTATCACTTTTCAGTGATACACGACCAACAAGGAAATTACAGTAGAGCGGCAATTATCCGAATCAATTGGGGACTGGGGTTGTTCAGAAAATCAATTTTTCAGATAACCAGTTATGCACAAAAAAATACATTATTAATATAGTATATTAGTATATCCCAATAATAGTATATTAATATATTTCATGTTTAAATTTTTTTCCATTGCATGTCGCTTCGTGTCGAATTTTCGTTGAAAATTTTTATAATAATAATTGTGGTTATTGTATTGTTAAAAATTATTTCTTTATTTTGTATAAATAAAATAAATATATTGAAAAATATAAAAACAAAAAAATTATACTTTAGAAGTTAATCTAGTATCAAAAACATTTGATTCAGCATGACACAGTCTGACTAGAACGCTTTTGGTTAACCGACGTTTTGGTTGATCGGCATTCAGATAATTGATGCTCTACTGTATTTCCATTTATTCTAATTTTCAAGAAAGTCTCAGGATTCCTTCTAATCCATATTGAGCTTGATACTCTTATACAAAGATGAACTAAGAATTACATCTATCATAACTTTTTATTCTAGAATTCTTTCCTCCCGGATTAGTAGTTTTTATCCTTTCTAATCTTACTTCTTTTTTCTGGCTCCCTCTTTAATGAAATATAGAAAAAACAACTTCTTTCATTAAAAAATTTCTTACAAATATATTAGAAATAATAAAACAAGAATACATCAAATGAACATTACAAGTAATTATAAATTAAATAATCAAAACTTTTTTTTGATTTGTTTTCTGTAATCATTATATGAAAATGCAACTGTTATGTATTTATTTCTATAAAAATAATATTTTGTGTGAGATAATTAAGTTATTCATTAGAAATGTAGCTTTATAAAAGATTTTAGCTATAAACAAATATTTTGTTTTAATAACTGAACATTTATTTTTGTAGATGCTGGCAGAAATAAATTAATGGAGAAACCAATTTTATCATCATTAATGAATATTCTTGGAAAAAATATAACTGAAGATGTTATGGAATCACTTTTAGAACTATTTGGTAATCTTGCTGAATGTGGTAAGTTTGTTTATAAATGTCAGTTTGTTAAAATTTGAATTAATTTTCAATATAACCAGAAAAATTGTCAAAATTTCAGATAGTGTTAAACTACAATTAGCTGAATTAGGCTTATGTGATCATTTACTAATTATTTTAAAAAGAAGTCAAGGTAAACCTGGAGAAGAACACCAAAGTATTGTAAAAATGGTTTGTGACCTGGTTGTGCTTATATTAACTGGTGGTATGTTTCAATTTTAATTAAACAGCTTAAAACTAAATTATTTAAATGATACTTTTTATCTCTACTATATTTTATTTTCTGAAGGAATTTTTTTAATAACTATGATACTTCCTTTATTATTGAAGGCAAAAAATTTCAACTAACAAGGAGAGCCTACGGCTTTGGGGTAACGGATTTTGATGATCTTTGATGTAGAGGTAGTACACGATGTGAGTGTACTACCTGTAAAATACTAAAGTGCAATACTCAAATATAATCGAGAAAATCGAACTTAAAGTTTTGTTAGCACTTTATATATAAATTATACGTATTTCTATTCGAGCGTCCTGTGGCAGAGTGGTAACGAGTCTGATTCGTAAGCTTGAGTTCTCGGGTTCGATTCTCGCGTATAATTTTTTTTTTAATTCATAAATACTTATAATGTATTTATTTATTTACTCATTCATTTATTTCTTATTATTTATTTATTTTAATTTAATTTCTACTATTCCAAGTCTAATATTTTTATACTTTTGTTGACAATAAC